TAGTTTTCCTCGGTTATGATAAAAGATAAAGTAGATATAACTATTTCTTGCTTGATACCTGTTTTGCTATATGTAATTTTACTATGTTAAAGTTAAAACCTTTCTTTTTATTTTTATTTGAGCAGAAAAGGGGAAAGGGGAAATAGTGTGGGAAGTTCTTCTGTATATGTGTTACTTTTATTGGTTAATGAATAAAGCTGCTTTTGGTCAATGACTTAACAGAATATAGCCAGGCTGGAAGATATNTCTTCTCTTTTTTTTTTTGTATTTTTGAGAAAGGGTTTCTCAGCTATGGAGCCTATTCTAGCACTAGCTCTTGCAGACCAGGCTAACCTCTAACTCACAGAGATCTGCCTGTCTGCCTCCCAAGTGCTGGGATTAAAGGCATATGCCATCACCGTACTGCTTAACTTTGCTTTTCTAACAATAAAATCATTGCATCCAAAGCATACCCACACAATGCACTTAAAGAAAAAGAACAAGTCACCATAAAATTATTGGTCATGGTCATTATGGCTGTCTTCATGCTCACAAGTAAGATGGTATAAATAACCATAAGCTTATTCTTTGTAATTTTCTGATGTTTGGTGTGCTGGAATTTAAAGATATTTGACCCCAGTCATGTTATCTTGGAAGGGAAAGTCATCTTTAGCCTTCAATCACCTCTTTTCTAGTCTTTGTAGCAACTGTTTATAAATTATGACAATCGTAACACATGCACCTTGGACCTATCCAGGGGCTATCAATGACTGTCCAAACCTTCAATAATAACCGTTAGTAAGGGATTCCACCTGCTAATTTCCAGTTCAGGCATAAATGAGTAGCCCTAGGTAACTAGATTGCCTTAGCCAGAAATAATAGTATACCAGACTGAACCTGTCATTCAATATTAGCGTGACTTGCAACAATCATCGATGGAAGGCCTGCAAGCAGGACACAGGACAAAACTCTCCAGAAAGCAGTGGAGCATAGCGGTAAAGCAGCTGGTGAGGGATTCTTCACACCATTGCCGCTGCTCCTGGGTGTTGCTTCAGCACCATCACAGATTCAAGGCAGGGATGTCAAAAAGTGGACTGTGGAGTTGGGGGGCAAAAGCCAGCATGTCATAGTCCCGTGAATCCAGAACAAAGACTGATGTTAATGATCCCCAAACTGGGGTGAAAGACCCTGCACATGCTTTGCCATTTGCTCTTTTGAGATAGGGTTTTGCGTAAATCCCAGAACTGCCTAAATTTCAGAGTGGTCTCCCTGCTACGGTGTGTTCAGTATAGAGTCAAATTGCATGTTTCACCAACATTCTGTTTATTTAAAGAGTAAATGTGCAGGCATGGTGGTGCAGGCCTTTAGTTTTAGCACTCTGCAGCAGATGCAAACTAACCTGTATGACTTTCAGGCTAGCTAGGTCCTCATAATGAGTTCCCAACAAACCAGAGATAAATAGTAATACCCTGATAAAGAAAATGTTACAAGATTATCATGATGTAAAAATATTTATTTTTAATGTGGCTTACTTAAATTCTACTAATGAGAAAATAAATTTTAGACTCATATATCAAGTGGACAGTATATATA